ATAATTATCTTTGAATATATTGTATCGCTGTTAGACACACAATATTTATTTGCAAACACAGAATTTGTACGTAAACTATTTTTAAAAACACGTCTTGAAAAGATTATAATTATTATAACTAATTGGGTTGTTTTTTTCGTATGTATTGCAGTTCAACTTTGTCGGGAGAATTTTAGGGCCACGCGGCATGACCGCGAAACAATTGGAGCAAGAGACAGGATGTAAAATCATGGTCCGCGGGAAAGGATCGATGAGGGACAAAAAGAAGGTAAGGATTTGTCAACCTCTAAAAGTTGAAGTTAACATTTATATTTATATTTCTTACTCAACTATCATTAATTATTAATCATTTAAGAGAAATCAAGTTTCTTCGAGAAATGTCCTTTTATTTTTCAATTAACTAAAAAATCGCAATTTCTATTGATTTTAAATCGTAATAACAAAGATATTAAATTTACATACTAATGGCAATGTGCAATACGATTATCTGAAATTAATAATAGTTGCGACAGTTGTTATAATACTGCTTAATCTTTTACTAATGATAGATTTGTTCTCCCTAATCGTTACAGTTTTTCTGTTTGAAAAATGTATGTTAAATAATATTAGAATATCATACGATATAAATTATAAACACCCAATACTTATTATAATATGGAGACTCGATATGGATTATAACACAAGTAATAAATATCGGGAGACAATGCCGAGCAACGACGAATGGATTTAGAATTAAATTGAGTGATTCATATAGAGTATTAAATCAAGTGCTATATTTTTCAAGCTGCATGTGGTTCGCAAGCGAAATGTTATCTCGTAAGTATATATGTGTATACGTAATTTGATGTAAACTTTTTTAAAATTATTTTTTTGCCGATTGACGTAAACGTCAAGTTTATTCCTTAGTTATTATTATCGCCGTTCATTTGGCTTATAAAAATTTGTTGAAAAATACGACAGCTTTATTAATTCGAAAAATTTACGCAAAAGCGTATGGAAAGTGTGAGATATATCAGTTATGTGATTCTGTTTTTTATTTCTTTCCATTCTCAAAGAATCCAATTTACGGTATTACGATTTTGTATTTCACGATTGCAAATTATGCGTGGTGCGTGCGTGTATATGTTTACACACGCAAGTTGATAAATGATTGCATGTATATAAAGATTGCACGACGTGTTGATTAACTAGGAGGAACAAAATCGGGGCAAGCCTAATTGGGAGCACCTGACAGACGAGTTGCATGTTCTGCTCACCGTTGAGGACACCGAGAATCGTGCCACCTTGAAGCTTGCCCGAGCTGTAGAGGAAGTCAAGAAGCTTCTTGTGCCCGTGGTGAGAAAGTTCCAATTATTTCCACTCGTAGACGATAATAGCTTCAATGTATCTTTTTTTTTTATTTTTTTTTTTTATTCTTTTTCATCAGTTTTAATCAAGCCCGTAAAGTTCAAAGAAATATAGCTAAAATCGAATTTTTTTCATGAAAATTTGAAAGATTATTCAACATACACCGATCATTCGTACAAAGTAATATATTTTAAGCGAGCTATCATATATAGCAGTTTCCAAAATGAATAGTCTATATATATATATACGCGCGATATTAGTAATGTCGGTGTCTTTATATACGATAAATGTGTGAAAAGATGTCTGTACAGTAGCGATAGTCGAGCTATCTTTTCTTGTCCCTCCAACCGGTAGTGCGTTCTGACGGTGATGTCGATTGTTAGCAGGCTGACGGTGAGGATGAGCTAAAGAAGAGGCAGCTAATGGAACTCGCCATTATCAATGGAACTTACCGGGATTCGAACACAAAGGTTGCCGCCGCGGCAGGTACCGTTCGCAGAACTTGTCTTTTGCTCGCTTACGTTGACTCGTAGAATCTCGAAGACTCGTGAATAAATTCCGCGAAATCGAATATCGTAAATCTAAAGACGGATCGCGTCGAGAAATAGGGTCGTTAATGAGAAATTTAGTTGTAAATTTATCTTATCGCATTCAAGAAATTTTCAAGAATTTAATATATGATATATTTAAAAATTAATTGAACGAATAGAAGACTTCCGTAATTGTTTGTAAAATTACTGTCGTCAAATTTAAATAAATTATTGTAGATATTAATGATCGTGATTTTGGCGCATCTTGCAAAGTAGTTTTGGAATGAAAATTATAATGAATAAATCGCAAGGTGTTTAATCGATTCTTTAAACTTACTCTTTTTCGGCCAATAATTTTCTTGAGTATTTTATTCTTTCAGAGAATTGAACATTATTCAGTCGCTTCGTGTCATTAGATGCATGAAGAGAATTTTAAGAAAGATTTCGAAGAAATTTAAAAAGTTATTCAAAATATTTCGCTTATGTAATATCTAGCGCGATAGTTAATCAAAGTCGACTACTTGCGCGAAGACAAAGAGTATAAATAAAAAATCAAATTTTTCTATTCAATGAATTACTTACAATTAGTTAAAAGTTAAATACAATGAATTTTTAAAATAATATTTTAATACTAAATTAAAGTGTTGTAAATATTATTTCAGAGATTTGGCATGTGCAACATTATAACTTACACGTATGATAATGTATTAAGAAACAAGTTTAAAATTTTTCCGTAATGTTCTACGCCTTTTACATAACTTGTACATAACTGTAAATTATACGTTTCTGACTACCGCTTTCTCGACGATAGTGTACAAACAAACATAAATTGTAAGCAACATATCAACATCATGGTATCGAGATGCTTTTGAGGGTAAATGCAAACCGCTCTGAAAAGGGCAAAAGATGATCAGCATTCGCTGTTGCAGCTTGTGACGAGGAGTGGCGACGGGTAGCTGCCGCCGCGGCGGAGACGCAACGCCTGCTACCAGGCCTGGCGACGCCGATGCGGACGCCAAGCGCACCACTGGGTGCGCCGTTGATCCTCTCGCCGCGGATATCTGTGCCGACAACTGCCGCATCTCTGCTGAATGGCTCCGGGCCACCCGGCTCGCTTCTGTCGGCCGGCGATCCTCACGGGCTCATCTACACGCCGTACGCAGACTACGCCAACTACGCTGCCCTGGCCGCGTCGCCGTTACTCACCGAATACGCCACTGCGGATCATTCTGGTGGGTTGTTTGCTCGTTGATACGTCGTCCCCCCGCGACAGAGAAATAAAGAGGGAGAATGTCTCGCTCCCCTCTAACGAAAAACGGAGCTTTGCGCGTTTAATGCGTGAAAGCGTCCTAAAAAAAAGAGATAGATACATGCGCATCGAGACTGAGGGGAGACGGAGCCGTGCACTTTTATCATGATATTATCATGATTATTATATTATTATATTACATGCGGCGCGCGTCACTGGTGACTCTCTCCGCATCACGCACAACTCGAGACGCATTCGTGACAATGGCTGTTTTTTTTCTCTTTTCTTTTTTGTCGCATACTGTGACATATTAGATGAGCAACGAGCGGTTAATAACAGCGATGAAAGAACAGATAGAAAGAAATTCTTTTAAAAAACAGTTATTAATTATTCTCGGCACTGCTTGTTGTACATTTGTCAGTTAATAGTCTGCACGCTGCTGACAATCGTACCGCAGAAAGCCGTCCATCTAATCGCTCCTTTACTCACAATCAGTGCCAATTTTATACATCACGTAAATTATATTCTGAAATTAATTATTACGAGGAAAGAACAAAATTGAATGACAACGTTACATTTCGATATCGATTAACGTTTGTCTTCGCAAAACGTAACATCGAGAGATTCGATGCACGTTAATTTGCCGGGAGCGTCACCAATAATACGTAATACGTATACAATCATATAAAATTATAAGGCGATAATTGTTAATTACGAGCTGGTCGTTCTTGTAGTTGTTAATTATCATTACTCACGTCGTCATAGTTATTACCATCATCATCGTCGCCCGTCGTTTTCATCGTTTTGATCGTTATCACTGTATCATCATCACCATCATTATTATCATCGTCGTCGTTGTCGTCATCGTCATCGTCGTCATCGTCATCATCATCATCATTATCATCATCATCATCACCTTCGTAGCAGTTAGCAAATAGTTTTTGTGAAGGTAGCTTAGAGTTTAGAACGTAAACGAAATCAGTCATTTACTAGTCGCGTCAGTTCAGATATGATAATTACGTAAAAGCCTTAGCGTAACGTATGCGCCGCCTTCGAAATAATTTTATCATGAAGATTCAGGGTTATCATAGCGATAGAGTGGCGAGAACGCGAGATGTTTAGGCCGCATTTGGCATGATTTAATCAAGAATAGTATAGAGAAGAAGAAGAGTGAAGGAACAGACATCATATGTGGTGTATCGCGTGTAGCTATACTAGTCCGAAAGCTTTTTTACGTAAAACGGAGATTGTGGCGTTCCACAATAACCACGTGTGTTTTGTCTGGAATATATCGTTTCTCCTCTAATCGCCTTTAGGGTAACTCACGGTGCAATTTTTGCCTGGTTTGAGAGAAAATTTTTAAAGTTCTAAAATAATGCATTACGCTTAAATTTGTTTGCAAATAATATGATTTATTTTCTACAATATAAAACAAAAATATTCTTTTACTGTTTGAAACTGGTAAGAGTATTTAACAGAAATTGAAGTATTTTTGTAAAATTTATAATTTTATAGCAATTTTAAATCGTGATTTTGAAACCAATACTCTCATTTTTTAAATATACTCTATCCACATATTTTTATGTCAATCAGATAAGATTTTTATTCTCTTATAGATTAGGCAAATTTTACATCACGTAACATAGACATAATTGTGCCAAGCAGGTTGCGAAAGTACAGTAAACGATCATGTATACTCGGTCGCGTCGTACAAGAATTACAGTGTCGTCGTAGAGAACCGTTAGCTGGGACAGTCTCGCCGAGTCTCTTCAGGTGGCACAAAAATCACATCGATACTTAGTATACTCGAGAAATTCTTTTCAGTCCTCAACAAAATACTTTCCACACAGTGGTACGAGTTTTAATTTACAAATATCCAAGGCATGCAATATTTAATCGAGCTCTACGAGACTATCCGATAATGTAGAATGTTTCAATACGTGTTTTTTGTATCAACATCGACGTGTTTTCCTTGTCCCGATACAAAGATATCCAGTTACCCGATGAATGCTCTCGCATTCGCGCATCTCTCAGCACATCGTTACGTATAAACGTGACCGTAGGGAAAGTTTGATACAAAACACTTCTTAGATATATATATATTTTTCTTTGTTTTTTTTTAAATAAATTTTCTCACACTTGAGAAATCCATAACGCGTTATTACGCATTACTCAATGCAGCAATCAAAGGCCATTCATTGTGTAGCAATTTTATATATACATATGTGCGTGTCTGTACGTACGTGTCGATAAGTATTTCAGAGAATATATATCATATATTTATTTAAGTAGACGATAATAATATCATATTTATATAATAGGTTTTTTTAAAGATTTCTTTAGCATTCGACTTTTAATAGCTTTGATAACGGAATCATCGATACATCGTACACTTTAAATCGCAGCTTAGAGACATTTTTCCATACTAAAAAGTAAAATCTTAATCATTTTTTAATCAATGGTCTATTGATAGGGTGATGATGGTACATTAACCGAATATTTACTCCGCGTTTTCTTTCGCATCTTTTTTTATATTTTCTTTGTTTTTCTTCTTTTTTTTCTTTTACCTCTCCCTTTTATTTTATTTCGCGCGTTTTTACAAACACGTTTTTTTTTTGACACGCTTGACTTAAATTACTTAGCGATAACTACGAAGTATCACTAGAATTCCAACTGAATCCCTCGGGTTGATTTAATACACGACTAAACGACTAATAACCCGTCCACCTCTCCTACAAAACTCACTTCATGTTGTCTTTTTTCTCTTACTCATTCCGTCTTAACAAAAACCATATCTCTAATTATGTAACTCTACAGTGATGATTCTAGCAAAGTAATTACTTAGCGCAGTGATAGAAATCTGAAAACGGGAAAAAAGTGAAAAAAAGAAAAATATTTGATGATTAGGATTGGAATAGAAGTTCTTTTTTTTATTATTATTATTTATTTGAGAAAACGTAATTACGAAGTTTAAAGAATCAATCGAAATAATCATCATTAATCGCACGATAGCAGTCAAATTAGCGAGCAATCTAACGAGGATTCATCATATATTTCAATTCAGTTAGAAATTGAATCTATCGCGCGGCATGCCATAGAATATTACAATGGCTGGTGATAGGTAGTCTACGATATATATATACATAGGTCTTTTAGGCAACCAGTAGGTGGAGGGAGAATACCCAGGGACCAAACAATATTTTGAGGACTGATGGTTCTAGCGTTTACTTGTAGTAAATTCAAACGGTACGGATAAGACTATGCGTTGGAAAGTATTTTCTCTTTCTTTGTTGTTGGATTTTTGTTTTTTTTTTTTATTTTTTTTATTTTTTTATCGCGTATTCCACGCACCCGCAAAAGCACTAAAATTTAATGATAATGCAATATTTATATAAATTATTTTATAGACACGCAATACTCTTTTGATGGCATAGTCTTTAAGTAATATTACAAAATATGATGCTACACAAATTATATATACATACACACATATTATATATATATATATATATATATATATCATATCGTATTATATATTATTTTATATGTTTATTTAATTTTATTTTTATAAAGATTATATAGCCATTATATAGATATATTTATATGACGTTAAGGGCCTAAGCAACGAGTAGGTGTAAATCTCAATACTCATCGTTGTTAGGAACGAGTAGAATGGTTGAATACATTTTAGCTTACGCAATGACAAAGACTTACCTCTGATTTCTCGACAAAAATCAAAAATGGAATCTTAACCGTGCGAAGAATGAGAAGAAGTCCGATGTTGATAGATCTTCTCTAGTATTTAAGAAATTTTATATATACATGCACATATACAAAAATCTCATGTACCTACGAGGATTGATAGTGAAAACAAAATATCATATTTTATATGATAGGCCTGTTTAATGAAGCATAATTAAGTAATAAGTAGGTAAATAAATAAGTAAGGCACGTATCTCTCCGACAAAGTCCGTATCTCGCCTCTCGCGAGGATGAAAACATTTTTATCATAGACGCATTTCAGGGACGCACGATTTCACTGACATTACAGTATTTTTTAACAGTGTTCTGATAGAACAAGAACAAGTTTATTTCGCCACCACGTTATAAGCCTAAAGAATACGATCGAACGTAAGCTACGAGGGATCGAAACAGACGCGCAACACTGCCGCGTGTGTCAATATTCTGGAAAATGCTTTATCGTAATTGTAAAGTATCTTTGAAAGTAATAAATAATTTCTATGTATTCCGATGATACATACAAATTGATAAAATTAGTCGCGACTCAGGCATTTAGTAGCTTCTGCACTCTTCATGTTAGTCACGGTGCAACAATCGTGAACTCGTAGCTCGCGTATCGGTCGTACGCTGAAGGCATCAGCATTAATTTGCGGCGCTGTTACGAATTGGAATTTTTGCAAGAGATGTGCAATTTACTTGCGCGCGCGTTTTTAATGAGAAAAACTTTCTCTCTTATAATAATAATGTGTTTAGGTTCGTAATAGCGCCGTCGCCGAAACCCATTGCATAAAGGAAAATGTATAAAATGATAAATATCCACGCGATTCGCGTGAAGCAACCCGTGTGCGTGTGTGTGTGCGTCGTATCTGACCGATATATTTACTCTGTGACAACAGTTTTCTTTATGAAATGGGTTCCTTTTCGATGTGTGCGTTATATATATAATAATAGCGACAGCATTTTAGATTTTAGTGGCCGACAGCAAGTGCGGATCTGTGCGGATCTGCTGCGGATTTATGCGCGAAAATGTGCGCGGAAGTGATTATACGGCTCGATTATACTCATGTTATGTATGTTGACGACAGGCGCAGCGGCAGCCGCTGCCAAGCAGCGTAGACACCTGGGTCAGATCCGCGAGCACCCTTATCAAAGGGCCGGCGCTCTCTCGTGAACACACAGAGACAGTGCGAGTACAGAGAGAGAGAGAGAGCGAGAGAGAGAGAGAGAAAAGAGAAAGAGAGAGAGCACTGTTCTTGCGCCATCGCGGAAAGGTTAGTGTCTGCACAGACAGTTCATTAAGTTCTCTTCTTTTTTGTCCTTTATTTTTTTTCTACCATTTTCACTTTTCTTATCGACGTTAGAATGATTGAGACATTTTTTCTTTTGTCATGTGACTTCTATAGATTTTTATAAATTTAATTCTCTCTCTGTATGAATTGAAAAGTAACGTTAATATAACACACTTTGGCAGTTTTTTAATATAATTTACTCGGTACTTAATAACTATCGTTTTTATGTTATCGTTCTGGATTTAAAATAGGCATAAATCTGCAAGAGTTGTAGCAGATCGTATCCAAATAAATGTAAATGGCTTGTTAAACGCACACAAAGGTTTCCATCATTCTAACGACGGATTATATTATATACGACGGCAGTCGCGCAACACAAATGCGCTCGTGTTCGTATTTTTGCCGCGTGCTGAAGTCTGTGGCAAAAGTACGGATTATTTAAATGTGTCTTCTCTCGAGTATTGTCGAGTATTTCACACTTAGCACACACACGTTTTCGATTGGGTCTTCTTTATGAGCGACAACAGCAACATTGATACGTGTGTGCGCGCCTCGTCTTGTGTACCTGACGCCCTGACGCCGCACCGATCGCGCGACATCGATTCAAATGACTTTATTTCTCTTTTATCCATATGTATAGATACGCAGGTAAATTCCCGAAAGAATCTTGATTAATGTCGTAATATATTGTATATATACATATATATTTTCTTATCTTTAAAAATGGGTCGCACTTCCTTAAGACTTTCAACAGTGGGAGCCGTGGTAATTTTGATTAGCTTTAATAGCACGCGTCGTCGACGGATAAGAGAACAAAAGGGAGAAAAAATTGCTCGTGGATGAATTGCTGTGTGGGAAAGAAGAAATGAAATTTTTTTTTCTTTCGGGCTGAAAGCGAGTGTTCAGCGTCCGGAATGTCGAAAGTATTCTCTCTGATATTCTGAGCGCTTTCAAACGAACTGTGCAACATTAACGTGAGTTCGTTCTGCGCTCCTCCGCAACTTTTCGTAGAGAGCGTACTATTATATTACACGATTTACGCGAGTGAACGCGATGTTTCTTCGCAATTTTATCAAAGTATTTTCGTACGCGCATTGACACTCGAGTCAAGATTTCTCACAATATCCGTGGAAAAAAATCATTATTTAGCGTTTGAACTTAAAACTTTGACATAATTTGAAAACAATCGTTCTTTTTCGTTGGACAGCTATTTCTTTATGTGTTGCCGGATACCGAATCACGTTAAACGCAAACATAAATACAACGTGATTGCGCGCCTTTTCCATTTGCACACATATCTTCGGTTACAAGCACTGATCCGATAGCTTTTGTGACGGTATTATTCGCTCGGATGAAAATAGAGCATGCGAGAACAGGCCTTGTGTCAGGCCGAATCTATAATTGAATCACGGCGACTCGGTCGGAAGAAGTTATAAAATGCAGCTCGCACAAAAGATATTCAAAGTCGAGTCTACGTAAATAAAGATTTACGGAAGATTATTTTACATTTTATCGGTTTTCTTTTTCCATAATAGACTCGGTACAAAAGTCAAGCGAAACGCATTATTGTTCGTACGTTGTGTAAATACAAGTATTGATCGATGATAGCGTGAACTTATGATAATTAGAGGAAATCATTTGGAAAAAGAAGGATCTAAGACGCGTTACTGTTTTTTATTGAAATGCCAGAAAGTTTTACGAAATTGTTCAAAGGCTTTCGGTGGAATCTGATTCGAAATTATTTGCACATATTTTATTGTAATAGATTTCTGGCATAAGAACATCAGAGTGTCAATTCAGAAATTGCGTGAATTTTAATATTTATTCAAGAGATGTGTGTTTCTCATGACAAACGAGAATTCGGGGATGGTTACGCGGTACGATGCGAAGGTTTATGCTATTGGTTCTTTAAATCAGTAAATTGTTATTATTATTACGATACCTTGCTTCAATTTAAATTTCCGAGAAAATTATACAGCTGCGGAGACACGCGAGCAAGAAATATTATTTCTACATTAATTTTTAATACTACATTTTTTGCTTTTTTACCCTTTTTATTTCAGATGATATATCAAGGAATCATTGAAAGTAATCATCTTCCATTAAATCTGTGTTTCTCCAATTAATAATTAAATTCGCGTTCAAAGCGTTTAAAACGGGATAAAGCATCAATCATCGCGAAAATGACAATGCTGTCAGAGATGGCGTCCAGCCCTTTTTATATATTTTATCTCACTAACATGTATTTTTTATATAATTGACATTCCTTATCATAGATACAATTTTATTCATTATAGACTGCACACAACTGCACTATCTTTATTTACATATATATATAAAACTAACAACAATGCTCTAGACACACACACACACGCACGTCAAAGTCGACACTAACACACATATACATACACGTGTGCAACACACAGCACGAGATTTATACTTTATATATGAATAATTTGCAAAAGAATTGCTTACACAACAATTTTTACATAAATTCTTTTCCTATGACAAGTTCTCGTGCTAAATTGTAGATGTGCACACATAATGTGCATATATAGCATGTATGAGTTAGGTATGCTTGTGCAAACAGTGTATCTGTTAGTTTATTTTTGAATCGTATCTCATTTCTTAGTCAAAACTTGAGAATAGAATAGAAGCTTTGGTCTAAAAAATTTTTAATTTAATTTCCATTGCGCAAATTTGAATTTAATAACGCAAATTTAGTAAATTATCTTCGGGATTACTTCAGAATGCATTAAAAAAAGTCTGCGTTATTCTTTTCTTCCAATAGTTATCTGGACAAGTGAACTCAATTCGCGTTTATATGCATACAAGTCCATTTGTATATAAAGAGTATTTTTTTTTAAATCGCAGATCAATCAGTATTGGAAGACATTCTATAATGAAACTGTGTTTAATCGATAATCGCGAATATACATCAGTATTAGAGATAGTATTAAAATCAAAAATGAGATGAGAGAGAAAGAGAATTTGCCGACAACACATTTTATTCGTAAATATTTTTCAATACAGTTGTGGAGTGAAATTAATTCTCGTTTTTTTTAACAAAAATATATTTCAAAGTTTCAAAAGTAATTCGATAACTATTCTCACTTTTATTATCATCAATGAGTTGAATTATTTTGCCATTGTTATTGTGATCACTTGTGATGTAATCAATTCGTGCAAATAATCAAGATATTACAAATTTTAATTACTCAAAGATATCTTCAATCTGCGAGTTTCTCGTTAAATCTTCCGTTATCATTCGATTCGCAACTTACGTTACTTTATATATAAAGGTACAGATCTGTTTAACAGCGTAATAATAATACGTTTCTTAAAAATGCTTGGAATTGTACGACAGATATCTGTCCTGTATGGCACATGCAACACTCATGAGCCTCTGACACACCTGCTTGCTGATGGGACATTAATCACTAAAGATCAATCAAGATAATGATCAATGCAACAATACTACCATAACTATATAATCGAAATTTCGTAACTATGTAATCTCTTTCATTTACCGGTGCTAATGTGGTGGCAGGTGCACATCCAGGCTGTTTATCTGCGATCACTATAGAATGTTTGCAAAAAATAACGAAATCCACGTATACGTGTGTAACAATAGCGATTAACAGGTAATAATCGATCGACTGTTTCGACTTTTGACTTGGTCTTTTTATTTTGATTTTATTTTTTTCTCTTATATCTGGTCACATACATTTGTAGACAGCTATGTTTGACGACCACTCGTCGGTAGGGTGAATGCACCAACGAGCAAGTCTTTGCCATAGAAGAATGTATTTATTAATAAAAATTAATATTTTGGATTGTTCTTAATTTGAAATATATAGTACATTGTTCAAAATTAATGTAAAGAATGGTATATCGAAGTAATGAAATTGTGCCAATCGATGGCCGTTAGCTTTGGCAAAAGTAATTTGGCAAGAATTATGTAATTGGATATCGGTGGAATGTCGCGTTTACACCGGGGTGCATTTATCCTGACGCGAGTTGTTACAGCGATGTGTCTGTCGACAGATGTTTTTGTGGTTGTCCTATGCGCGGGAAAGGTACACGAGCCATGTCACTTGTGTGGAAGCAACACGGATCTAATTGTCACGAATAGAGAATAAATTTTCGTGAGATAACAAAGATTGCTAATTTGATACTCGATACTCGAACCGACGATCAATTTCGTGTCGTTAGACACGTATTATCTTGTTATGACTAGTCGAACGCTTTATACTAATAATATTACAAGTATTCGGTGCAAAGCAATGCTTCGTCACCGTATAATCTTTTCGTCTAACCGAGTAATTAATTTCCCGCGCGAATGTCTACACATTTCGTTCCAACGGTCTCATGAGTGAAAGAAACGGCTCGAAGCAATTCTAATTGATGTTAATGAGTGTATCGGTTTTACATAGACACAGCTACACAGAAAACGTGGAAGCGTTGCTTTTCACCACTAACTATATTTCTCTCAGCTAGCGAGCTACTAGATACTTAATGTTAACGTCGGTCAGTCATAATCAGATTACTAACAAACTGTTTTTCTTTTCTTTCTTGTTAACCCCGGTTGCCCGTGGCCTGTAGGCTTGGAGTGCTAACAATGGATATCCACTCGCCCCGTGCTAACACCTGGACTCTGGAACAGCATCCCGCGTTCGATCGGTTCACCAACCAGCCGACCACCTTCGCCGTCCGTCCGCGTCACCAGCCCTGTTCGTCAAGCTTATCCATCATCCTGTATCCTCTTAATGTTCGGAAATGTAGTCTCTTTCACGCGTCACGGCGACCGACGCATCGCCGATCGAAATCCGAACCATTTCTCGTCGTCATCGTCGTCGTTGTAGTCGTCATTATCGTATTTGACGACAAACACACGACATATATAATGAATTCAAATATGATTATCTCAGTTTGATATATATAGTGATTATAATATCATTATTTTATTTTGCAAAACATTAGCGTTGCGAAGTACATTCGCATAATATATGGATACTTGGAACGGTATTATTATGAGACTCGACTCGATGAGATGAAGTATATATAGTATATACATACATAACGATAATAATGAGCATGGACGGCAAAACACTTTACAAAACACTAATCAAGTAGAATTTGACATCAGGCAAAAGCAAAATAAGATCAAGATTTCATCCGCACACTTTTTTGCGAGTAAACGCAGGACTATTCCATATTTATTTTGCGAATCGTGCGCAATTCGACTTCAGTGCAACGATAATGGCAATAGTAGCATTAGTAGCATTAGCTTTTAGTACAGATGATAATTTACGAGATATTTTTATTTTCTCGTGTAGAGAAGGATCTTGTATAGCACACAATATATATCCCGAGTATTTTATTTTCTCTCTCTTCTCGCGACAGCAGTGAAATGTTCGCGCTTTTCCCAGTACTTATGACTATGCTGACATCTCTCATTACTGAAGATGACAGCGCGAGAATGCGACAATGTTAATATAACTTAAACACGATATTATATACGCGCGCTTTTAAACCTCATTACTAAAAAGCGTAAAGAGATTTTCTAGCTTTGCGAGAAAAATAGCAATTTAATATCCGTGTCTTCCTTTTTTCTCATGTGACACATCACGTTGAAGAGACTATCAAAATTCTGTGCGACTCTCTCGCATAAATGTGCCTTATATAATATTAACATATAAATATTAATGTAGTATGGTCAAGTCGAGCCGCGATACCGTTCTAGATAAAGTTACATTATCGTATAGATTACATAATAGTGTTTAAACTGTGCAATCAAAATTTATTTTCTGTATATATCATTAGAAAGATATATACGTATCCCAAGCAAATATATGTACGTGCGTGCGCGCGTTTGTATAATGATGAGCGTATACATATTGACATACTGACACACACACACGCATACATATATTTTTTTTTGGAAAAAATAGAGCACCGATCAAGTCTTTTTTCTCTAACAATTTTCCTCGTTACAAGTAGCGAGTAGTATTCCATCCAGAATCCCAAATATCTCGAAGAGAGAAGGCTTCAAAAGTCCGCCGTCGAATGTAGGAGTACGAGAGCTACGTGTATATATTATTTCAGTCAAAAGTATTAAGAGAAACGCTATTCAAAATATTTTTAGGGAATGTTATATATATTAAAGAACATTTTAGGACATCAGTGTGCAATAAGTTGATGAGAAAAGAGCAAGACATTTATTCGTGTTGTCAAGGATTTGTTGAATAAATCACAAATTTTAATATTGTAAAATCTTAAAACTTAAACCGCAGGATTGTTGAATATACGATACGTATGTATACTATATACGTATCGTTATTATTAAATTGGCGAGCAAAGTGACGAAATAAAAGCAAACGATCTGTTGTTAATACTTTTTGCGCCGTAAAATTATTTATGAGATTTTTAATATTTACGAGATATTATAATCATATAAATAAACAAATGTATGTAATCTCTGTCCACACATGCAAAGAGTGTTTGCGTGAGAGAATGACTTACTTAATATCGACTTTATCGTTGTATTAGTTGCACCATTTTTAGATTTGCCATACTGTACATGTAACGATTAAGAACGATTTCAAGTTACACGCGTTATATAACTTATGTATAATCAGTCATGTGTCAAATGTTATACTCGTTCTTTCGACAGATATTTTGGAATTTTTGTCCGAAGAGTTTCTCCTAGATATCGATAGCTTTGGTCCTTCATGTATATAAGCGCTAAAAAGCATATACACGCACATCCAAACACACATACATGCATACATACATACACACAGAGTTACGCATTAAGAGTGATCTGAAATCTACTTAAGTTTGCAACGTAAATATTCGATATATAGTTTATTATTGTACGTAAATAATTGATTTAATGAAATATTTTTGAATATATATTATTGTCCTCTATTAAATGCGACTGTAATGTACGAATTAGTTCCGCATTTTTTTCGCGAGCGTGGTCGATTATATGGATATGTATACTTTTTATGTATATACTGTCTCTTTATGTCTTACTGTCTAATATACATAAGAACGTAAACTATCACACATATATACATAATGTGTTATACATATATTATCTCAGTTGAACATCTAGATGGTATAAATAAACACAGCCGTAATTTACTTCTGTATCGAATCGCGCAACTTAATTCTGTTCTCTGTTCTGTGCAATATTGACGAATCTATTACATATACATATATTACGATATATCTTGTCTTGTCACAGAGAAACGAGCAGTTTGATCGAGGGGAATATTATATACGCAAACATATATCTTTATTTTTTCATCGAGCGGTTCTTCGCAGATTATTATTACCACCGCAGGAGTAAATGCCGGCGTGATTTCTCTATATCTTGTTATCATATTTATACATGTACACAGATAAGTTATATAAGAAATTATGTATGTGCAAGCAATCTTGTTAGATCTTACGGCATGCAAATTTACATTTATTATTCTATAGTTATATAGTTTCTTTGCCGAAATTTATTATATGATAATTTTTTAGTTTCATATTTTATTTTAATGTTGATATATATGTGCAGGATATGTGGCAATATTAATGTATAAGTGACAATGCAAAAAGTATAATTTTTATTTCCGAAATCTCTAAAAGATCTGATTGTGAACCATAGTGTATTGTATGCAATTTTCAAAAGAAGATTACGATTTGCGATAAAAATGCAAATCAAATAGTTTATGCACAAACATGTAAAAATACTATGATGAACAGCAATAAAAATATTTTTCCAATATTCTCGACACTAGTTCTCGACACTTTATTTACACTCAAAGTTATCAAAAAATGGGGTTGAATACTACTAAGATTTCTATTTTATGTATATGCACATGGTATGCATTTGGTAAGGTATTCAGATGTAAATAGATATACGAAATACGTGTATGTATAGATTAGCTTTATTTCTCTCTTGAATGTGACACTTTTTTTATACACTCTCTTGATGTAGCGTAAATTTTTTTTTCTATTGCTGTAAAAAACTATAGAGACGACGTTTTGATCTTATGTGACATCTTTCTAGAATAATGATTATGTGAAACGAAGAGACACGTTTTATGATTTCGGTAATCTGTACATATTACCAGAGAGCAACAGTTGATGTTCCCTGACTTTTCTATCCAAAAACTGTCTCAGTTCCGGTAAACCGCATTCTACAGTGCCCGGTCCCTGAGACGCGAACATTTTCAACATCTGATGAATCCTTTCTATCGGCAACGAATCCAGATTCGTTAACATCCCGACGATGTACGACCAAAATACTTGTAATTCCTCCTCTCTCTGATCGCTAGTCGAAGCCATTACGCTTTCAGTCTCTTCCTCTTCAACAATGTCGGTAGACAAGCGATTTTTGGACGTGCTTTCCTCCTGCAGGATATACACGTTGTTGGAAGTTTCCTTCAGGAGGCCTTGCGACACCCAGAATGTCATCTTACGTCGCAGAACAGTCGTTGGAACATGCATTATTTCTGCTAAATCCTGCAAAGCCCACTCACCTGCAAATCAGTCTTAATTTAACAACGATGATCTCACCACATGACGAATCGACGAATAATGTATTCTTACTTTTGTCCTGGAAATGCAATATAATCGTCGCGTGTATCGGAGTGACATTTATATCCAACTTTCTATCTTTCAATTCAATCTCCAAATTAACGTTTCCCAAATGAGGCTTCCAGCAGAGCGTTCTGTTTCCCTTCAAAGCCTCAAACGCTTTCACATACTTGTTTAATTGATTCTGTACAATGTTGGGTAGTTTCAATTTCCAGTCTCCTTGAACGGTGGCCAAAATTGCGCGGATAATATGAGCGCAGAAGTGGGAAAAAGTTCCCTCTGCAAATTGTAACTAGTGTCGGAGTGAATGTTACCATCTATCCTCTTGGAATCGTAAACGTCTTTCAACATGACCTCGCAGTAATGCAGCTGATTCTCTCCGAATCGTCTCTTCAACAACTCCAAGTGACGTATCTCGCGTTCGGTATGATAATTGAGTTGCGAGAGCAGTCTGTCCGCCAATAAAGTACGGTACTCATTAACAAATAAGTCTTGACTGCCGTAAACATTTACCAGCATAGAAATTATGTCGGACACTTTACGTTGTGTCGATTTAGCTGAAAGGATGTATTTTTGTTGAAACTCAAATATACAAAGCCAACTGTAGCCAAATTTAATTTCAGTCATCGACTTGTCACTGTAAGAAAATCTAAAGTTTACCGGGATCAGCGTCGACCGGATCCGGCATCCATTTCTCCCAATCCTCAGTTTCGTCGTCTGCTGAACCATCGTCCAGTTGCAGACACTCGCCTTTGATTAATTCGTCGGCCAACTCGCTCGGAGAATCATCAAGCAGGCTGTTAACGACGGAACGTACGGTATCTTCCCTGCTCCTTAGATAACTCCTAAAAGAAAAAAATCGTTTTTACAGATCGATGAATTGTGGTATCAGTATTAAATTTAGATCACAAAGAGATATACTCTGGTGCAAACAATAAAAAGCAATAAAAACAGAAATGTAATACAATACAAGATAATTTTCTATTTTTTTTTTTGATCGTATCGATCAGTGTATTGATAAGACAAGAATCTCACTTGATAGGCTCTGTCACAGCTTCTAAAAGAACTCCAGTTGGATCGAGATGTTTGAGCGCTTTGATCGCGGCGATATAAGCGGTCACTATATCCGGCGTGTTTACACCAGGATGCAAGAGCCTCGTTTTGATCGCTTCCTGCAAATTCTTAATCAGAACTTTCCGTTGATTGGTTCTTTCCAGACAAATTCGGAGATCATCTACCGCGGGTTGCGACTCGGGATATTCTAAAAAAAAGACAGCCGTTGTATGAATTGTGTAAGTAAACATACTAAATTGGAAATCACATGATGTTTATACCTATTATTATATTAAACAAGTGATCAATTCTTATCTTAGTGTACGTCTCGTACAGAAAATGTGATAATTTCTGTTTGAATTTGTTTATGGCATTACGAACTTTGTCACTAAGAGCTACCGTTTTTGAAAAACCACCAGAATAAATTCTTATTAGCCAACTCATCACAACAGTTTCCAGCCACTGAAAAATAAAATACAATATTAACATATACATATCGCAACTACACATCTATTACAAATGATATACTGTATAGATATGATATAACTAACATTTTCCAATGGGATCAGCTGCGATACGTCAAATGTCTTATCACATGTTTGAATTACATGATTTTCAATACGAATATGAATTAGTGACGTAAGTACATTTCCCACAAGTCTTTCCAATAATTCCAATTCGATTAATTTTCTATTTGTTTCGTGAAACATATAAACTATCGTTTGGCATTGACAGCTGTCCGTTTCCTGGCCACATCCTGTGCACTGAATCTCACTACTTGATGTGTCTATTTTAAAACATAGGTTTCCATGTGACTATCTCAATTTGATATAATAAAATCTTATTCTTATGCCAGCTGTGCAATTTACCTTGTGACGAGTTGTCTGAATTGCAGAATACATTGAATGCAATTTTATAAAACTGTTCTGTGATATATTCGTGACACAGAGGTAGTTGACCTAACAATGTTGCTCTTACACAAAGTTTGAATTGTGCATCTATGTCATCTCCAGCGCTTGACATGTGCGCATCATCTTTGTTTTGTCTTAAATATTCCAACTTTTTTAGAACTGGTAAAAATTCTGTGAGATTAGCATACAGACCATCTACAGCGGATTTAAACAATTCAAAGCCCCGCTGTCCATCCTCTGCATTCTCAAACTTTTTCCAAAATGCTGGTGCCACATGCCAGCGAATGTATTGTTCTATATGATGAATAACAATGTCTTGGACATAATGTGTCAGCTTCAACTGCTGTATGTTCTCCGCTATATCAGCAAATTCTTCTTCTGTACATTCATCTTGAATCTGCGAAAAAGATTATACATCTTTTGAAATAAAGGTTAAAAAAAAAGGCAAAAATTATTATACAACCATTGATTTACGCATATTAATAATAAAAATAAAATGTATCATTGTCAATCAATGTAGCATATACCATGTTTATTTAAAGAGTTTGGCTGTTATTTTACTGCATGCCAAAATTGTAAACATTCCACTTTTGTGCATAGGCAAAACAAACTTATGGTATTCATATTTAGTATATATATTGCATGCACCTTTCCCTGAAGTACTGGAAACGCGCGTTCTATCTGAATGAGAATATCTTCTCGACTTGCGTCCACTTCTGCCATGTTTAATAATGTTTAACCGTACTAATCGCATAGCGTACTGAACAGTAAATGCTGCGAAATGTCATCCAATTTAGGTTAGATTCACGTATCAATTTGACTTCAAATTAAACAGTTTTACATCAGTTTTACAGCATGTATCGCTCGTGCATCTTTTATTACCAACGTGTTTATTTTACTTATTGTATATTTTTTTATAGTGCAAATATTTCAATGTTTAATAATTCAAATGCGTCCACCAACTTCAGTAGCCAAAGAACGCTGTATCGCGTCCTCAATTTTACTGCTCAAGGGACGCCCGATCTCACCTTGTCTTCGAAATGATTGAAAATGTTTTTAAGAAATAAAATTATATCTTGTATCATTGTCTTATTTTTTCTTTGGCATATACAAATTAAACAGGATCATAAAATATTAAAATCTTAATAACTCAATATTAAAAATTTTAATAACTATCACATAAATTCCAATAGAAATTAATACAATACATAATTGAATTTTTTTCCTTTACGGATACAAAGATTTTTTACATCAAGCAAACTTTAAGCTCCTTAGTGCGAATGTTTCAATACTATCTGGATGCAACAAATCACAAAAGCTTCTTTCATGTCTGTTTCTCTCTCTGTTAATTCAATTGTTATCATATTCTTTTTGCAGGTAGTACCACTGTCTTGCTTTTTAGATGTAGATGCCTGTGAAAAAGAATTTAATTGTTACAAAGACTATCCACAAACAAATAACGCATAATAATTTCTTAAATACACAAAAAATATTGCTTATATATAAACACATCCTCTTTCATGTCTTTCTCAGACATTGTCACATTCACAATATTCAAGAAATTGCCATAAAAAATTTACCAGTGTTCTCTGTGGATCAACACATTTCTCTGTTATAATTCTCTTCAGTTCCTTTTTTGTTGGTTCCATGCATAGAGATTTAATAGCAGTTTTAAGCTTAACAATTTTTCCAATGCCATTCGGATCAAATAAATCAAAATCTTCTTTTATATCTGCTTTCCTCTTTTCTGTTAGCTCTAATTTTTTTTAATATTCCTCTTGTGTATAATTTCTGCTTGGTTTTTAGATGTGGATGCCTGTGAAAAAATACATATTTGTTACAATCACTATTCTCAAATAAATAACACATAATATATAATTCCTTACACAATACATAAAAAATATTACTTATATACGCAATAGTTTTGATCTCTTCAAAGAGATAAAACATAATTTTAATAAATTAAAAATAAAACACTGGGGAAAAAAAAGAAAAAAAAAAGAGTATGACAGAAGTGTTAGTTGAATCAAATTCAAACAAATAGTTACTTGTATTTTGTTTAAACTAAGTCTTACTACAAAGTTCTATTTAATAAGTCGTAAGAGAATTTCATTTTATTTCTTTCTAATTTAAGCGCGTGCGTTTCAGTTTGAAAACAACAAACATCTTTACTGATTTTCACAGAAATGTCATACCATGATGCCAAAACGAAGAGACGCGGACCCACGTAATGGAGAGAATGACGTGCCAAACGAGAATACAATCAAGAACAGCGTAAATGTGCATTTACGGCGTACCTCGAATAGTAAAAGCAGCAGACATAGTTTTTCTTTGCTTGCTCCTACCGGCAACGAAGGCAAATTATTAATAATTAACATTTTGAATTTTACAATAAAAAAAACCTTAGAAAAGACCTATGAATTATTTAAGAATTTCACGAGCAACATAATACTGACGAAGGTAGCCTAGACGTGAAAATAAGCATGCAGAAAAATTAAGGTTACCCGTTGGAATAGCCTGAAACTCTCCATTCTAGCCGGGATTTGAAAGATTTGTTAATAGGAACACATGATGATATAGGAGTTCGCTCGAGTATCAGCTGGGCGGAGGCGCTCTAGAGTTTGGCGCCTCTAGAGCTCAGTGTTGCGATATGGGACCGGTTGTATGCGCATGTGCGGCTCTGCGCATGTGCGGTGATGGAG